GGTGTGGAGTGTTTGTATTTGGCTTGGTTGTTCTATGATGCTTATATTTTAATCCTGTTACTGTGTTTAGGTACGTAAGCTATTTATTTAGGATTGGAGCAGCATAGAAGCATTGTAAAATAAAATAATGTTATTATAAAATGTCTGACCACTTTGTAGTTTCAGATCAGTTACTTGAAAATGTGGCTTAATGCTTTGAGTGTTGGTGTACTGTGTCCCCCAGGATTGTTTCTTTATTCTAATATTATCTAGATGATTTTTTTTGAGAAATAATTTCAGAATAGTAGGTAATTGCATATGACATTTATCAGTTGCCTTGAATCAGTGTCAAGGCAATCATGGAATGGATGGGTGGAAGATTAATTTAGGTGACAGAAATATTCCTGGTTAAGAACTGAGCTCTTTTTAATTTTATCTTGAAGAATCAGCTTTGAAGTTTGAGGATATTTCTATATATATAATGTTGGAGTTCAAATGTATGGGTAATGATAATAGCCAGGATTCCCTTACCCAGTTTAAAATTCTGTACTAGCTGTTTCGTTTCCAGAGCATATCGGCTCTAGCAACGGTAACACACACCTTACTTGCATTTGAATGGATTATTGCAATATGCTTTACATAGAGTTACCTTTAATAATTCTGTTGAAACTGGTTAGGAATGCAGGTGCAAAGTTGTTAGTGAACTATCTAAACAGATTATACTTATCCACAGATACCTTGGTTCTTTAATTGCTGTGTGGATTTCAGAAACTGGTTAGTTATCTTTAAAACCCTGTTGCCTTAAGGCCCAGTTATGTGGGAGATAATAGAATGAACAGAATGGTATCTTAGATCAATTTGACTAGGTAACACCATTCATCATAGATAGTAAACAAACCAAACTGCACTGAAGAGTTTAGAAGATTGTCCTGTAAATACTAAATGTTCTTTATCTAAAGGATTGAGCACTCCTGCAGCAGAGGTTTTGCAGTCCAGTTGTGACACTTAGCCCACAACCTTTACATTTTGTACTGTTGAAGGTTTGTGACATATTGCTTTTATATTATTTTTTTGCCAGCTGAGCCTGTCCATTTTATATTGCATTCTGTGACATTCTGTAATGGAGTTTTAATATAGGCTTGTGACAAGCATTTCTAACCTATCCTTAATAATATGTAATTCAGGGGTAGGTAGTCATTTTGAGCTACAAACTCATTTGGGGTTTAGAGAGCATGAGGGAACTGTCCTGTTTATTAAATGGATGTTTCATTGGGACAGTTATAAAATATCCATAAACCAGAAAGTGCGTAAGTTCTTCAGAATGCTTTGTAGTTTCACATAGAATTTTTTTGTTAGCTAAAGGTATTGCGTCAAATTAAGTAGTAGGAGATAATGCTCTGTTTTGTAGCTTGGTGACTTCTAATTTTTTTAAAAACTAAAAAAAAAACCCCTTCAGAAAAGTCAGCTGGGCTATCTCCTGCTAAACTTTGAGAGTATTAAAAATATAAATATAAATGCTTTTAGATAACTAGGGTAAATGAGGGATCTTTTGTTGTAATTTGGTTCCAAATTCATTGATACAGAGTTATGTAGAAGTTTAAATTTGTTAGAGTTTTATTGAGCACAATAATAATTTACTGCTTTTGATAGAAAGACCAGATCAACAGTCATAGATCAGAGACCATTACAATTTTTGTACAAATTCATAGTCAACAAACTTATTACCTTGATTCATCGTTATTATGATTCAAGAAGCATCTTAAATTACATTGTTAGGTAAAACTGGGAGGAAATTATGATTGATTAGATCTTACATTGTGATGTAGGACACTGAAAAGTATCAAATATTTAATAAAACAATATAGTGTTATTTTTGATACTTTCAGATCTTCACATCTAACAGTAATGAATGTTCACCAATAAAAAAAGTCACCATGACTTTGTAAAATTTGCTTTGTGAAATATATCTAGTAAAATTTCATGCCTTCTTCTAATGATTCTCTTTTGATATCTGCTGTACTGCTTACCTTCTCTCAAGTTAATTAATCTCTTATTACTTGCAAAAACAAGTAGTGCCATTTAAATGAGAGGCATAATTCTGGTAATAGAAAGTATGGACATAATCGGAACATTTTAGCACTTGGAGAATTGATTTATGCAGATGTAGTTAAAATTGGGAATGAACATGCTGTTATCCTATTAAACCTCTTTAAGTGTATATATCATTAGAGTACAACATGGTGTATATCACTAAAGTTATAGTCGTATCAGAAGGAGTGGACATCCTGATGATAGAACCTTGAACTTATTTCTGAGTAATGACAGTTAAATATTTGCAGTTCAAGAGTTTTCAGACTTTGTCCAGGCAGATTTAAAATGGGGGTAAGGAATCACAAGGGCAACAATGAAAATACAGTTGTGCAGCTTAGTGCTCATTACTGGTTTTCAGTTAAGATTGGCAAATGAAAACAAATTAAACAATTGCATGGATTTGTTGCAAAATGACTAAAGTTCACCTAAATCCAGAAAGTATTGTCTACTAGTATGATAAATAAATCTTATCTTAGAGATAGAAAGCTGAAAATAACATGCAAAAATTGGTAGAGGGGAATTTTATTGTAATTATAAAGATCATAGATATTTTGGTTCTTGGTGCGTTCAGAATTATAAAGTTAAACTATATTGTTTCTTGATTTCATATAGAAAAAAGTTCCAGTTAAACAATTTAATGTTTTAAAATAAAAATAAATAAATAAATAAAATTGCAGGTCAGGGACAGGTGGAAAGAAGGATAGTACTATTTATGGGTATTGTGCAGGAATTTGGATGCTCAGTTTTGTTTTAGAAGCTGTATACTAGAGTAGATAAAATGCTTATTTTAGAACATTTGTATTACAGTCTTAGGTTTATTAAGTTTAAACATAGATAAATTCCACTTACTTTGTTCAAATAATTTTTATTATTTAATATTTATATTAATACATTTTATTGTTTAGAGTGCAAATGAAATTTTATTGTATTCAATTGGACTAGCATTATTTTTAAATGTTGAGGAAGCTCAGTAATTAATTGATAATATCTAAAGTACCATTATAGCAGTATTAAAATATAGAGGGACTTTTTCAACAAAATTCTCTCTTTCTCTTTCACTTTTTTGTTGTTGTTGCAAGTAACATATTACACATTTTATGGTGAGGATGTATAAAATCTGTTGTTTTCCAAAATACCAGAATGGAGCATCTGGACCACATACGTCTGGCCGTTGCTGTACACCGTGTTCCAGATTAAATTGACTTTTTAGAGGCAAACCTACCCTGGAAAATCATAAATAATTTCTAGTTCGAGGATTAATTTCTGGAAAAGCTAGTAGACAGTCCTGTAACATCCAGATCAGTGTTATCTGGAAGATAAACACAATGATCTTAACAGCAGCAGACTTTCTAATGAATAGTCAGAAATGGTCAGCCTGTTAACTTGTATCTCTGAAAGAAGAGAACTATTCTAAAGAACATTTAAACTAAATGGTTAAGACACTAGACAAGAAACCAGGCGACTGTGACCTTAGGCTTGAAAACTGGCTGGGTAACTTTGGGCTAATGTCACTCTCTTTCTGCCAAACTCACCTCACAGGGTTGTTGTTGTGGGAAAAAAGGTAGAACACATATTACATATGTTTGCTACCTTGAGTTATTTATAAAAATAATAAAAGTTCTTTTTTCTAAAAAATTAAATAAACATTGCCAGTGGTCCTTAATAATTATAGCATATTTCGATCCTCCCCCCAGCTGTCACCATGTGCCTAGAATCTGAAGATAGCACTATTAAAAATATGTGTCCTTGCTGTGCAAAAATATTGCCAATTCCTGATAAATAAGCACAGACTGAAATATAGGAAAGAATTGTACAATAGTGGTGTTTGTATCAACGATTTATGTTCACTTTTAAAAATGCAGCAGAAGGAAAGGAGCAGGGCAAAACTATTAGTTCACCATTGGTTATCGTAAGAAAGAGATGACAGTATTTAACATGGGCTTAAGTTCTCCATTTGCTAGTCTTTTTTTTTTTTTTAAATTGACAGCCAGCAAAAAGAAACTTTTCGAAGTTTGGATAGAGAATTAGAAAAGCATTTTCATGCATGGAGCTGCCCTATATAAAAGTACCACTCTTTTCTGAAGTTTTAGATGTTTTGGTCTAAAGAATAGGTAAAGAATTTTTTGACAGGTACAATGAATCCTGAGGATTAAGCACAGTATCAGTGAGTGTGACAGTGCAGAAGGAGCAGTGCTTCTCCAGTTAACTAAACAAACAAACAAAAAAACTATACAAACGTTCTGGATGCCCTTCAAATTAATTGGGTTTATAAAAGTTACAATAACTGTTCTTTCCCCCAGGGGCCAAGAAATATCGCAACTCTTGGTCATTTTGAATAATAATAACAATCATCAACTTTTTCTTCATTTCTCCCCTCCCCGCTGGGCAAACAGTGACCTGTTTGCAAAGTGAACTGCTCCCTAAATAGAAGCCATTTTAAGCCAACAAGAGCAAAGCTATGGGTTCTGCTGCAAATTAGGAAGCTTTGCTGGCATTTGCTGCTGCTGCTGCTGAAAATGATCTGAAATCCTCTCCTGTGGTTCAAAGTAGATTGCCAACTTCAAGTATAAGGTTATTTTAGTCTCAGATATAGGCTTGTCGCTGCAAGTTGCCAGGTTTCCTGTGGCCACCTCCTCTTGCTAAAGCCGGCCTTTTGCCTAGGGTGGTGGGGAAGGTGTTTTTTATTTGTTTCCAGCTAACCTGCCTTGGTGCTGCTGTCAGCGCCTCTGCTTACTGAAGAGACTAGTTCTCTAGCACTTGAAAAAAGTGTTGCCTTCTCTGGAAGAAAGAGGCAGGACTTGAGGATTCGAAGGAAGTGAATGAGATAGGTCAGGAGACTGTACCATTTCTGAACTCCCCTCTTCCTTTTATATTCATCTGTCAGATAGAGTAGGCGTGCTCTGTGCCTGCCGAGCTCGCTCAATGCAAAGCAGGGGGAAAACAATCTAAAACCGAGCTGCTGGGATGAAGCTTGTTCCCCTCTCACCCCGATCTTTCTTTCCATTCCCTTCGCTCTCTCTCTGGATGCTATAAGAACTTGGGCTCTAGTTGGAAGCTATTTAAAAACTAACATGGTTTAATCCTCTAACTGCATGTTGGGTAAATTCAAAGCCCGCACATGGTCATCCTCTTGCAAGTGAATAAGTAGCATCCGATGGACATTTTCTCTGCTTACAGCATAGTAATGAATGTCTGACAGGCGCGACCTTTCATAAGACAGCCTACATTATTGGCTTTCTGCCCAGATTATTGCTGCAATCCTATCTGTGATTGGTTATCTCTCTATCATGCCTTGTTTCAGAGGGGGAAAACAGCCCCTTTTTAATAAATCTGTGATGGCTGGCTGCAATATGCTATACTGTAAGTATTTTATTGGAAACGGAAAAGAGTATCATGTTGTAAAGTAGTAGACTGAAGGAGCACATGGCAACATGATTATGCTGTGAGACATCAGTGAAATGCTGCTTGGTAAATTTTAACCTATCTGTTTTTTCTACAGGTTGGTACTAAGAAGTGCCTTTCCTGACGTCTCTGCTGCTTGGAATCGCTTCTAGAGCAGTCTCTGCTTTTGCCTTGCTTGCTGCCAGCTAGACTGCGACGACACCACATCCACCCTCACCTCTCGCCCAGCCACCCCTCCCCTCTTAAGCATCAGGCATTGCCCTAGGCTGCTTTAGTTAATCTTACAGAAATAAAAGTTTGCTGGAAAAGTGAGCAGTCTTCTGCCAGGAAAAGAAAGGTGGAAAAAAATCTAAGAGGAGAGGAAAAAGATCCACACCTGTTTCTTGATTTGTTGCTCTAAACTGCTGCATCTGTCTGTGCCAAACTAATCATTACCAATTGCACCACACCAAAAATTAAGAACGAATAATTATTGCAGATTCAGCTGTGTGTGGAGTCAACTTTTCCTGAGAGCAGCTTGAAAAATTCTGTGTCCGAGGGTCTGCCACTTTTTTTTGCTGCTTGCGTTTGGGGCTCCAATTCGGCATTCAGAATGGGTTACTGAGAGCACAAGGCTAGTTCGAAGGCACACTTTTAAATGCTCCTCTTACTTTTGATCCTAGCATTTCTCTAAGTTTAACTCCCCCCTCCCCTTTTGATTGACAGTTTCATGCTGTGACTTTCTACAGGGAATATCTCTTCCTTGCTGTCGCAACAACACAATTTTACATCTTTTACCATTGGGCTCGGGAACTGGGGAAATATTTTTGAGGTGACATTTTTGATCATTTCCAGTCTTATCAGTTTGGCCTTTTTTAATTTGTTCATTTCATTGACAATTTTAACTACCTGTAAAATCTAAACATGGCTGTAAGTGTCACACCAATCCGGGACACAAAATGGCTAACACTGGAAGTATGTCGAGAGTTCCAAAGAGGGACTTGCTCACGACCAGATACGGAATGTAAATTTGCACATCCATCAAAAAGCTGCCAAGTTGAAAATGGACGCGTAATCGCCTGCTTTGATTCATTGAAAGTGAGTAAATATTATCATTCTTTTTAAAGATGTTAAGGCAAAAGCAATAACCAGAACACTGATATTAGTCAAATTATTAAGTTTAATGTGATAGTTTCAGGTCATAAAAGCATCCAGATGTTTGCTTTTATGAAGGAGTATATGATGTAACAATTTTGTTTTAAGGCTGTAGGAAATTTGCAAAAAGATCAGTTTCTGTCTTTTTGAAAATGCCCTTATTGTAGAATTACATTGTATTTTTGGTGGAATTTTAAAAGTTGTTTATTTGCTAATATAGAAGAGGAATCGTGTTTAATCTGTGATAGTGCAAAACAAAAACAAACAACAAATAAACAAAGTCAGATTGCATCTTAAATAGTAATGAACTGACGGAAGGTGTGTGCTATTAGAGATTGCAGCCGGCCTTCTCAAAGGGTCATGGTAGTACTATTTTGAAACCTCATGCTGCAGTAACTTTGTTAATCTTAGGGACAGCACAATTTTCTTCAAAAAGAAAAATGGAAAACTGGGCTCATACAATGCTTTGTGTGTGCTGGATAAAAATGAAAAGTGGAAGTAATGTCTATTAATAATTAGTTGCTCCTTAGTGCCATTATGTTTGGATTTCTGCTGTGTAAGAGAAACAGGGTTGAAGTTCAATATTTGAGAATACTTCCTTTCCTGAAATTGTGTAGGGTTTGAATATTTTACTGATATTGTCAATGGAAGGATCATTCGTATAAAAGTTAGCTGGGAAGATCATGGACATTATATTATGTATAGTTAATGCACTATTCACTATTCCTTGTTTTTTCAATGGGAAAATAATTATTAAAATGTTTAAAGCTACTGTTTACAAATATGTTTACACCTTTATTGGTTAGATGACAGTATTTTCCATCCCTGTTTTCTGACGTTGGTATCCCAGAATTGTTTCATCCTGCTCTTGCAGACAGTGTTCATTTATGAGAGCATAAACTGCATTGGCTAACTGGATTTGGTTGAGAGACAGGACAGCCCTGTGTGTAATGATGTGGTTAATAATAAATGAATGATTCATGTAGCTCTTTTTCCACTGGTTGAATAATTTGCAAAGAACTGATACTTGTAATATATGAACATGCACTTAGATAGACTGGAAGAGAAATATGTGCTTTTGCTTGTTTTCATTAAAGTGAAATAGTACTACTATTACAACCACATGTTTGGACTTGAAATTTTACAGCAATAGGGCAGGTTTTCAGCTCAGCCTCATGTATGACTGGATTCATTTATATTGACTGGACAGTAGACATCCCCTGTTACACTGGGAAAAGCAAATTCTTTCATCTGTTTGCTTTAGCTAGGGGCTATATAGTTGGGTGTGCTATGCTACAGGATACTGCTAAGCAAGATATATACATCTCTATTTTATATACATTGCCATTTTGGAATAATTCATACATAACAGGTGATTTTATAGTTCATACGTTGTTGAAGTCCATTGTAATTTTTAAACAGTAGATTTAATGCCACAGTTTTAAAGTTTCTTTTTAAGTCAAATTCTGCAGTAGAACTAAATATCTTATTAGGACTGGACCTGCCCTTCCAAAAATGAAAATATAATTTGTTTATTGCCAGTCCCTCTCCCAGCCTTTTTTCCCCAAATCACCTTCAGTAATGTAAAAACCTGCTATTTTGTACCAGGTGAAAAATGTTTGTAAATATAGTATTTGTTTTACAACTTATTTCCAGTTCAGCTGAGATTCTTCAATGAATTATAATTGTCTTAAGAATTAACTATAATGCATAAATATGTGTGTATGTGTGTGTGTGTACATATATATGTATATGTGTGTGTGTGTGTGTGTGTGTGTGTGTGTGTATGTATGTGTATATATGAAGGAAGATCCCCTATATCAGGGGTCTTCAAACTCGGCCCTTTTATGACTCATGGACTTCAACTCCCAGAATTCCTCAGCCAGGCATGCTGGCTGAGGAATTCTGGGAGTTGAGGTCCATGAGTCATAAAAGGGCCAAGTTGAAGACTCCTGCCCTATATCATCTTTAAATGATAAATATTGTAAAATGTTTTGAAACTAATATAAATAAAAAAACTGTCGGTACTACTGAAAAGAGCACTTAAGCTCTGAGTATTTGTTTCAACTCAAAAAATCACAGACTTCATGTTAATATTAAATAGGTTATAGGAGAAATGAGGAAAACAGGATCATTAAGAAGGAATGATGGGAGTTTTCTGTTCTACAAAATCTGGAGAATCATGGATGCTCAACTCTACTTTATTGGAAGGCCAACAAATATAGAATATTCAAATTAAAATCAACAATAACTTGGAAATAAATTGATTATTAATGAGGTTTTGAAAAATTCCAGAGTTTTATAGCCTGTTTGACTACTCTGCAGTGTAATGATGTTAATGTTTTAGTTTCTCTCATTCTCTAGTTAATTTCTAGTCCCATGTATATCACATTACAATAGTTAAACATTAAGATAATCAGAAAATATCTGTTTATATTGGTTAGCCTGTTGGCTAGGAAGAAGTCTCTACTGAAATAACAGAAATTCTGTGGGATTTCCAAAGATAGGACCCAATTTAACCGCACTCTCAAACTTCCAAAATAAATCTTTCAGAAATCACCTACTTTGTATATGGACAGGAATATACAAAGTAATAAATAAGTTTATAAATATTTAGATTTAGGGTGAATGAAGCTTTTTGGCTATTTTTTAAAGGGCTCAAATAATCTGTCACCCTGAGAAGTTGCTGACAATCTTTCATAATTGACTTTATTTTCATTTATTTTCGACTTCACCTGGGTCAATGCTGCTGACGTCCATGCCCCTTGCCTGGTCCATGACTTTCATGCCCGGTTCCCGCAACGTCTCAGTCTGCATGGTCCCAGGGAGGGGGCCCTGTGGGGGGCAATAGTGTCATGCCTCTGCAGAGCCTGAATCTGCTGAGGAAGGTGAGCTGGAACTGGAGCCTACGGAGATCGAGGGAGAGGCATTGTTGGCTTTGGAGGAATATGGGGAGTAGCAGGCCAAGGCAGGCCAGGGCCATTCAGGATTGAAGACAGGGAGGAACAGGCAGGATGAACATGAGAGACAGACCTCAGGCAATGAGCAAGGGCCACCCCTCCTGATCCTTGAGCATGGAGAGTAGAGAGAAGGAGGGAACAACACAGGCAGGCCCAACTACTCGGGAGGAGAGCGCCTCACCCCTCTCCACAAGGCACACCTGGGGACTGAGACTTAAGGAGATGTTGTGGGGAGGGGCATTTGTTGGGAACAAACACTGAATTATTGAAGGTTTGTGTGCCGTTGCTGATGTTGGAAGCAACTCTCTGATCTCCTGTTTTGTGTTGTGATTTCTACTTGTAAACCCTGAAACTCTGACCATTAGACTGGCTGACAAACTTGATTTGGTGCTCCAAACCTCAGATTGAATTTTGGCCTCTCTTCTGAAACTACTCAGGCAAGCTTGTATTCCCACAGACTAGTTAGATTTTGATGTATGCTCCTTTCTTTGTTTTCTACTTGGCCTTGAGTAAATTACTGTTCTAATCTAGCAACTGTATGTGAGTTGAAACCTGAAAGAGGATTGCTTTTTCCATATACACACTTTTCCTACCTGAGTGAAAAACGTTTGAAACTACTTGCAGCCAGAGGCTGCTGAAGGTGTGTGTGTGTGTGTGTTGTTACTTACTTTGGGACTTGCCAGATAGTGGGAGTGTTTGAGAAACAATTGGAGCAATAAAGGGGCAGTTTGAACTGTCAGCTGACTATGTTGCCTCTGTGCCGTGCCTTGAATCATCACACTTACCTGGATGTGTTACTGCCGCATCACCAACTGTCCCATTAAAGTGAATGGGACTGTTGGTGAGTCAACAGCGGGTCAGAGGAGGAGCTGCTGAGGGACAGAGATAACAGTTGCTCTTTAAAAATTATGATTTAAATCAAGTTGATTTAAATCAAGCCTTTTTACTAGTGATTTAAATCGGATCCACCCTGACTGAAATTATGTATGTTATGGTGTCCTTATGCTAATCCTAACACTTATGTACTTGTATCTGACATTATTATGTCATGAGGCATGTTTTGTCATTTTTTCCCCATTATCATGATTATGTCTGGATGCCTATGCATTAAAACATCACTTTACCTACCATAGGCCATCCATAATTATCATAGATGAATGCAATTGTAGTCAAATAATTGAACTTTTTTTATGGATGTCTTCACTATCATTTCCCCCTTTTTTGGAATTACTATAAGACTCAGCTGTCTTAATGTGCCTGTGCAAGCAATGGATTTACTTATGGAAAGAAGTTCAGTTTTTGTTCATATTAGTATGCCATTACCACAAATATGCAGATGTATAAGAAAAGTGATCTTCAGTAATCAATACTAAAGACATAATTCTAGGATGCAGAGGTTGATGAAATTAAAAATTGATGAGAAGCATATAGTAATGTAGAGCTTTATTCTTTTTATTGATTCAGTAGTGTTTTATCATTTTCAGTTTCCCTAAATAATTTTGTAAATAACTTTTCTATAATATGGCACAAAAAGATTCCTCCTAGACCGAATTAACAAAGATCTCCTCACACTCCACCTCAAACTCAGCAACAAGATCCACCCCGCACTTTGGGACAAATCCAAACAACTCGCCGTCTGGAGAGCCGAAACACAGACCACCCTCAAGACAGATACACACACCAACAAACTCCGAAGACTACAAGAACGCCAGAAACAAACCCCTCCTCCCTCACAGCCACACATGAAACAAACAGTGCATAACATCTCAGATAGGATCCTCACCAAAGCCGAAACCAATGTCCTTTCCAAAGGATTCAACTTTGCAGTCGCTCCCAAACACATCCCCACTGAAACCATTATATGTGGAGTTGAAACCAGCCTGACCAAAATCAACCCCGACGACGCTAACAGAATCAGACTCGAAATCACCAACATCCTCTGCACCAGCAAGCCACCCAAAAGCAACTTACCCAAAGAGGAACAGACAGCACTACGTAACCTGAAAGAAGACACCAGCATAATAATCCTACCAGCAGACAAGGGCAACGCCACGGTGGTTATGAACACATCTGACTACCAAACCAAATTAACCAACCTACTCCAAGACTCCACATACAAACCCCTAAATACAGATCCCACCACCTACCTGGAAAAAACCACCAGAACCAAAATAAAAGCCTCCCCCATTAGCGAAGAGATCCAGCAAAGAATCATTCCCAGAGAGAAATCATCCAGATGCCCTAAACTCTATGGTCTCCCCAAGATACACAAAGAAGGAACCCCACTCAGACCTATAGTCAGCTCCATAGGCTCACCTCTACAAAACCTAGCCAAATTTCTCGCCAAACAACTACAGCCCTATGCAGAATCCATCACCTCACACGTAAAAAACTCATTCCAGTTTATAGAGATCATAAAGAAACAAAACTTACAGCCCAGCGACCTACTAGTGAGCTTCGATGTCATATCCCTCTTCACCCAAGTGCCTATCAAAGAAGCCTTGACAGCTATTCAAAACAAATATAACCCCCCCAAACACATCTTAGATCTGACCAACCACTGCCTATCCAACACATACTTCATCTATAATGGACAAAAATACAAACAAACAGAAGGAGCACCCATGGGATCACCCCTCTCACCTGTCATTGCCAACCTCTACATGGAACACTTTGAAACCCAAGCTCTAGAAAAATCGGATCACAAACCCAAACTCTGGCTCAGATATGTAGACGACACCTTCATAATCTGGCCACATGGGAAAGAAAAACTGGACAACTTCCTCACACACCTCAACAGCCTACACCCCAAAATACAGTTCACCATGGAAACAGAAGCTAACAACCAACTTCCCTTCCTGGATGTCTTAGTCTACAAGAAATCCAATGGCTCCCTAGGACACACCATCTACCAGAAGAAAACACACACAAACCGCTATCTGCACGCTCTCTCACACCACCACCCAGCACAGATCAACTCTGTAGCCAAGACACTCATCTCCAGAACAAAACGCTTAGCTGACGAACAACACCTAAAACCCGAACTACACACTCTCACCAATGTACTAACATCCAATGGATTCCATAGAAATAAGATTACAAACCTAATCCAAAAAGAAACCCCCACTAAAATCCAAGACAAAGAACAAGAAAACGGCAAAGCCCTCCTCCCATACATAAAAGGCACCACAGACAGAATCAGTAAGATCCTCCATAAACACAACATCAAAACAGCATTCTGCACAAACAGAAAAATATCCACCATCCTTAGAAACCCCAAAGATAAAATTGAATTAGAAAATCAAGGAGTATACGAAATCCCATGCACCACTTGTCCCACCACATACATCGGACAAACCAACAGAAGAATAAGTGCACGCATTGAAGAACATAAGAACTCAGTCAAAAAAGAGGAACCAACATCTTCCCTGGTCCAACACCTTAAAGCCACAGGACATGAAATTGACTTTAAAAATACCAGAACCATTGCCAAAAGTGAACATTTTAATAACAGAATAATCAGAGAAGCCATCGAGATAGAAAAACGCCCACACAGCATGAACAAGCGAGATGATACCTCCCGCCTACCAGCCATTTGGAAACCTGCCCTTATTGACAAACGACTCCCTAACCCCAAAATCTTAAACCCCTCTGCAACTCAGACTAACCTGAGCACAACCAAACAGAACACTCCCCCAGCCAATCAGAGCACAGCCAAGCCTCTAACCATTCAGAACACACCTCCACCCAATCAGAACACAGCCAAGCTCCCATCCAATCAGTTCATACCCTCACTGGCAGTTAAAAGGAAGAAACAGCTAAAACCACACATTGCTGCTCAAAGCAAGAAGCTAAAAACACCAGCCTGAAGATGACGAATGTGACTTCGTCGAAACGTTGCCAAGACACTTCCAATTTTACGCGGGAGAAAACCCGAACAACCAAAGACCTACATATATATATATATATATTTTCAATGATGCAATCTTCGATCTCCGGGAAGAGTATACTCCAGTTATTTATTGTTAAAACAACATTTAAAACAATAAAAACAGTTATATACAAGAATTAAAACAACTTAGCTTTCGCTGGTCCTCTGCCAGCGTCCTCAGAGTGGGGCTTAGGGGGTGGGAAGTTCTTTTTATCCCCTTGCTGATCCAATTGCCTACTCAGTGCCCTCGTGACAGGGCCACTCTTCCTGATTGCCTGTGACTGCCTTGCCTGTTCCTCCCTCTCTTTTTTGCACTCTAACATTGTATTTTCCTGCTTTGTCATCCTTGTGCTGCCTCCCCCTCCCTGCGCTGTTATCATTAGCACACTCTCCAATCCCTCCTCCTTATCCAATGCAAGGTGCCTCCTCCGACTCGGCACTACCCGAATCCTATTGAGCTGATAATCTGCCTGCCGTTTTTGCATACCATTGCTGGTTTCTATTTCAACTCCCTCCTCCAACCCCCTTCTCTCCCAGCCTGCCGATTCATGCACCCTTTGTTATCCATTCCTGTCATCCTCCCCCCCTTCCTTCAACCCTCCCACCTGTTGATTAACATATTGCTCCTGCCTTTCATCAACCATACTTATTGATGTTCTCTTCCTCAATATCTTTTCCTTCCTGATCCGCTGCTCTACCTGCTGTTCCTGTTTACCCTCCTCCCCCACTGTCCATCTTCCCCTCTCCAATGTCCTCCCCATTATCTGCTGACTTGCCTGTTGTTCATCCATTTCTGTCCATCCTCTCTTTTCTAGCATTCTTCCTCCTCTGACCTGCCGTCCTACATGCTGTTCCCACATGCCAATATCCATTCCTGTTAAACCCTCCTTCTCAAACTTTCCTCCCCCCCAATCTGCCGTCCTGCCTGCTATTCTTATCTGCCCTTCTCCTTTCCTGTCAGTCCCCCCCTCTCCTGTTTCCTCCCCCCCTCTCCAATCCACTGCTCTGTTTGCTGTTACTTCCAGCATTCTTCCTTCCCTTACCTGCTGTCCTACGTACTGTTCCCATCTACCAACCTGCATTCCTGTTGGATTCTCCTTCCCAAACTTCCCCCCCCCAAACTGCTGTCCTGCCTATTATTCCTGCCTGCCCTTCTCCCTTCCTATCCACCCCACCCTCTCCTATTTCCTCCCCCCTCTAATCTGCAGCTCTACCTGATGTTCCTGGCTATTCTCCTCCATTCTTACTCCCTTCTCAAATATCCCCTCTCCATCCGTGAATATGCTTCCAATCTTACGTGCCTCATCTTTTCTGTTCTTTTCTCTCCCCCCTTCTCTTTTGATCAATCCCCTGGGGTCGGGCATACCCCTCCCCCGTATTCTGGGCCATACGATCAATTCCGCTGTTCCCCAGAGTCTTCCCTGATCCCCCTTTCCTTGCAATCCCCCATCATATCCCCCTCCTCTTCCTTTACTACCCTTACCTGTCTGTGACCCTAATGTTCCCTCATCTGTCCCCACCTGTGATGTGTCTATGGGATCCTCCCTATGTCTAGTCATGTGGTGAATACCCCCCCCACCAGTCCTGGTTTCGCCTCTGACAATCGACATCCGTCTCCTGACATGCTCCTCCTGCACTCTTAGTGCCTGGTACGCCGAGGGCAGTTCTATACATCGGTTGATGGAGTCTGTGTTGGAGAACCAGGCCTCCTTTAGTAAGCGTCCTCCTTTGGAGGCATCCTGGGCAATGGCTTCTGCCTCCTTGAAATCAAAGGAATGTCCGGTATTAATCATGTGCGTCCATATTTGAGAGTATTGCTCCTGCCTTCTGACAGCCAATTTATGTTCATGTATCCTAGTTTTTATTCGTTTGGCTCTCTCCCCCGTATAATTACATTGGCAGTCTTTGCAATGCACTCTGTATACGACCGCTTCGGCAATGGCTCTTTAGGGCGCATGACTTTCATCCGGAGTGTTTGATCCGGCCGGTGAGCAACTTTAATATTATAAGGTGCCAATATGCGCGCTGTTGCTTCCGATACTCCCTGGACATACGGTATTGTTGTTTGGGCCATTGTCCTTGGATCATTCGGTGTCCTGCGGGGTTCTTGACGTTTGCTGTATCTCCGAATGAAGCTAGTTGGATAGCCATTCCACCTACACACTTGATAAAGATGTGCACGCTCCCTCTGCTTAGCCCTCCTGGTGTTACAGTGCGTGTCTATACGTGCAAATAATGTCCTAACGCATGAGATCGAAGATTGCATCATTGAACAATATGCCCGGGATTCGTATTTTTATAACTATTAAGGATATATATATGTTTTCTGAGGTTTTCGCGAGTATTTGTATGTAGGTCTTTGGTTGTTCGGGTTTTCTCCCGCGTAAAATCCAATTTTACGCGGGAGAAAACCCGAACAACCAAAGACCTACACACACACACACACACACACACACACACACACACACACACATATAATAAATAAATCCAGAATAAGCCAGAACATATGGCACAAATATCAAACAAATGATGTGTGTTAGCTGCTGTGTTACGCAAACATGAGGATACATGGATGTAAAGATCAGTATTGTGCTCAAGAAACATGTTGAAATAACGTCCATACCTTGTTTTGATTGCAAGGCCTTTGAGAAGGCTCTTCATTGCTAATTACAATGTTCTCAACATACTGCAGATATAATCCCCAAATATTTTCAGATTTAATATTTTTATTTAGTTACTTTCACTTTCTTGCTTAATCAGAGCATTAGATATAGAATATTCTTCTGTCTCCCCCCCCCAATAAAATGCAACAAGTACTCTAGAGCTTTGCCTGTTTCAAAAATAATTTAAATAAGTATTTGAGTTCTTGCACAAATCTGATATCTTTCTATTATTTATTAAGGAAGCTGGTTTTCTGGTTCCACTCAGGCCTGAAAAAAGATACCACTGTTTTAAAGACTATATTCATTTAAGTAAGTTTTTCCCAGAAGGTTATCTGAAAAATTGTTGGATTGCTTTAATAAATAGCAGAGATGCTGTTATTTTATGAGGTTTAAAGTATATCTGAATAATTTTCAAAGCATGCACAGCCCTAAGTATATATCTGCATCTCAAGTTACAGACAAACAATAGAAAAGCTTGCTAAAAATAATAAATAGTACTTGGGTATTGTAGATAACTTTTTTCAAATTATATTACAAAATTAGAATTCATCCTTCAATGATTATTATGAAATAATCATAAGAATAATCATGGGGTTTTTTTGGGGGGGGGAGGAAATGCCATGGAGAGATCCAGGTAGCCTCAAGCCTGATGTCCTTCAATCTGAATCTCTTTAATCAAGATGTTAGCATACTGATGTTCTCCAAGATGAGGATATTTTTATGTTCCCACAGGAGTTGATTAACCCAGACCATTGCTTCTTGTCATTAATTGTTTTTGGCTCAGTAATTTGAAATGGAATATTTTTTATCTTAGAGTGTGTGCACTATAGCACTTTTAAATCTCAATTTTATGATTGATTTATTTGTTCATTTGGTTTTAATAAATATGCCAGCCAGATTCTTCTTTGGTGTGGCTACATAATGTTTAAATGAATATTTAGCTATGGACTATGAATGTATTTCAAGCTATTTCCATGATTCTGATAATCATACTAATAATTAGTATTACAGGATAAATGGTCAATTTTAGATGCTTTAGAATAGCGGCCCCCAACGTTTTGGGCACCAAGGACTGGTCCCAGGTGGTTTTTCTGTATACTGGCGAGGGGCATGGTTTCATGTGCTGCCTGGATCCCATGTGTGCATGGATGGAGCTTCACTTGCATGCGCGGCCCAGTTCCTGGTGATCCCTGGACTGGTGCTGATTGCCTGGTGGTCAGGGATCCCTGCTTTAGAACTAGAAATGAAAGTGTATAAAAAATCATATAGTTTACTCAAAGCTGAAACTCTCTAATCAAAATGTTAGCATACTTATGTTCTCTAAGATGAGGATATTTGTAATAAGCCATTCAGTTACATTTTTTATAATTCAGTTTGAAGGTGAATTATTTTACTTTATTTTTGTACATCAGAGCATAGCAGATGCCAGTCAAATGTGATTGTCTCCCTGCTAGGCCTAAAAAAATATAATAGCTCAAGTATTTGTTGTTCATAGAAACTTGATATTATTGTAAGCAACTCTCAAATTAACTTTTAATGGTCTGGTTTGTAAAGGGTTACTATTTTGAACAGATAAATGGCTGCTGAATTAAATTACAAAATACTTAATGTTGTGGAAAATATTGTGAGTAGATTTCAAAGGTTGAAACAGTTTGTACCTTAAGTTTGGACAAACAATAATTAAGATATGACAGGATAGTTAATCTAATAAATTTGATGAAGGTGTGATAAGCATGCAAATTTGTTTTTTCTTGTACCATCAATTAGAAGTAATTCAGTAAATTAAAGGAATAGGGACTTTGACTAAATTTAGGAAGATATTCCTGATAGTAATAGCTATTTAAATGTGTATGTTTTCAAATGCTGTCTGACTAGTTGTGATTTTCCTTCAATAGAGGCTTTTAAGTGGAATCTGGGTGGCCCCCTATCAGTAACACTGATGTGGATTTCCTGCTTTGCATGAGGTTAGATTAGATTTCATCCAGCTTGGCAATTATGTGTCCACTGTACTTAGTGTTCCAGGTAAACCAACTCCATTGGCAATGTGATACAAATAATATCTTTCTCTCATGGATATTTATACTTTCAGTGTAACTGCTTGTACAAGTGAAATTTTTAGTGAACCAGGGTCTTTTGTTTTTATTTTGAACATGTACATGTTTATAGAAGAAGGGGTTATTTGAGTTGAATTTAAGGAATATTTGACTTAGACAGAGCCCATTAATGCAGAATGCCTGAGGAGGGCTGAAGTTTTATCTAATTTAAGCATTGTTCCTTTCAAGACAATGACATGAATTCACTGGTAATCTTTGGCTATCAATATCCTCTTGTTCTCAGTTGAGGAAATTGTTGATCTTTCTGTTCCCCCTATCCCTTATGGAAATCTAGGTAGAAGTCTGTATTAATAAATATATCCAAGTAGATTACTGTCTTTTACAATGAAAAGTGTCATATACAGGAAGATACAGAGGTCACCAGATAAGTACATAACTTATTTAGAGAAGAAAGTTATTTCTATGCTATTTTAGCAAACACGTTTGAAAGGCTCCAGCAGATTCAAATGGAACAGATTTTGTACCAGATGATGACATATCAAATCCTGATTGATAAACACACAAACACAAGAATAATAAATAAAGTAAATAACAAAAGCAGGAAGAAGAGATTAACACTTTTGCAAAGGTCTCAATATGTCTTAAATATGTCTTAAAATAATTTCAGGATCTCTTAAAACAAAGCCAGTTTCAAAATTCTTATATGAAATCTCAAGTTTAGGTTAGGTTAGGATTACTAAAATAATCATGAAATGTATGAGTGCACTGGGCATACCTAGTAGAATCACCTGAGTTCAGTAAAAATTACTTTTTTTAATTATAAAAAAATGTATATCAGGCTAATACATGATCCTGGATGGTTCACATAAATTCACACAATCAGGATAGGAGAACATTTTGCCTGAGATAATCACACCATGCTGCTTAAAGACTAAGAACAGCACTTTACATTGGCCTTGGAAATGGATTGGCAGCCACTGCAGCTATCTCAAAATAGGTGAAACATGAGAAATCCTGTCCAGCCAAGTGGTCATATTCAGCAATAGCCCAGTTTTCTTACATATTTTTAAAGGCAGAAGAGCAATTGGCTATAGGCTAATTTAAAAGTTATTAGTTAAAATATAGGGTGTGCATCCAAGTTAATGCTATGTCAGATTCAAAATTTGATGCCAAATAATGATTTAATCTGTGTTGTTTACTATTAAGAATAATTGGGATTTTTTAATCTATATTAATACAGTCTATATCTGTAAAGTACAACACTCACGCTATGTTTTTTTGTAAATGTTTTTTTTATGTTAAATGAAAACTATTTAGCACATTTTTCCTGTAAATGCATCTGTTACTTAAAGAAAATTAGACTCTTTTGAAGTAGATCTGACTTTACTCGATAATGATAATAAATTATATATTCCATATCATGAAAAAAAGTTTAGTGATGAGTCATTTTCTTGAATTGTATTTATTGTGCTAACACTCAAGTAGGAAAATATATTAATCTGTTAAATATATTTAATGGAATGCATGACAACATAACAAATAAAAAACTGTGCCTAAAATTTACCCTTTCATTTTAGAAAGAACAGTGAAAATGTTGCTTTATTTATGTTACTTGGATTTAAGTAAAATAAGCAAATGAATTAACAAAAAATCCTGTCCCTATGAAAACAAAACTATGACAAGTTTATTAAACAATATGCATTAAAGAAACCTTTTGAAATCTCTGTAGGCTTACAAAAGTGAACAAGCTCTAAAGCAAAATGTGCTTCTAACTCTTGCTTAGAAGGTACATTTGAATTATGAGACAGCTATATCTCAATATCCTTTTGCTATTTTTAGAATATTTTACACTTTCTGAGTGGGACTCTCAAATTGCAGAACTATTTATTAGTTGTGCTGATTTCAGAGTTGGACAATGCTAATAGGTATCACTATATTTAATATAGGAAGGAAATCATAGGAATTTCTGTTCTGCACGATAGATAGGTGTGCATTTATATGAGAGAGTATTGATCACAGGTTGACCAGCCAATATTTTGAATGAAGATGGCTCCAGATTCATTTGAAAAACATCTCCTGAGATGTTGCTCACTTTTGCTAGTTATAGAATAGGTGGACTAGTGAGAGGTGATACTTTATATTTTTAATTATGATGTCCTGAATATTATCATTTGATCAAAAGATGCTTAATGACAATGTTATTGCTTATAAGAGTAGTAATGGGCAACCCTGCTTAGGTGTGTATTTGCATTGAAGTCTCTTGCTACCCAGCCATTAACTTTAATTTTGATCTAATTCTGAATATACAATTGATACAATGCAGGGAATCTTACCTATATGGAAGCTTCATAGCTGAATCACTCTATTTGAAACTTTAATTCTCTTATTTGTGATATGGATGATAATGCCAGTGATCTGGTTTACATCAGGGATAGATAACTTGTGATTGTAGGTTGGTGGGTGATGTACACTCAGGCTTGGGCATACATCAAGGCTTTTCTAAAATTATCACCAAAATCATGTATTCATTCACTTACTAAACATATTTTCTGTGCCACCACAAGAGAAAACAACTCTTAGTGGCACACATGGAAAAAAACTGTATAAAACAAATCCTTATTCAAGAACAAAAGTATAAGTCCACTGCAAGAATAGAAAGAAAATAAAAAAAGATGACAATTTCAAATAAAATCAGGGCAAGGCTCTCTGAAACAGATTGATCTTTAGTAGTTGACAAAATAGTAGCAAAAAGGGAGTCAGTCTGATTTTCATAGAAAGGCTGTTCCACAGTACACAAGTACACAGTACACAATCACATCATTACCAGCAAATTCATAGAAATCGATAGCATATTTGGGGCCTTAATAGGGTTAAAGTTGTTGTGAATTGCCAGGAAAACTGGCAAAATATTAGAAAGAAAAAATATGTTTCATGGATTTTTTTCTAAGAACCACATACATTAGTAAACAGTTAAAAGAACACCGACCACGTTCATCATAGCTTGAATTATTCAGAAGCCAATGAATATTAATTATATTGACAGCTACATTCCATAAATCACAATAAGCCCTGGTGAGTAGGGACTGATATCTCTGCCTGTTGCTCTTTATTGGCGTATTTCAGATTCTTTTCCATCATAAATCTATTAAAAACAATAAAGATAACATTGTGAGATGTAGTGGATCAGCTTCCTCCATCTTAAATACAGAAGAAGCCTAAGCTCTGTCTTTTCCTTTACTCTCCCCATCTGCAACCGTGAAATGAGCCTATGGCTCATAAATGTTCAGGGTTTATCTCATTAAGGAAAAACATTACAAAGGCTGAGTTTATGCTAGCCAAATAACTGTCAAGGTTTAGGATTGAATTCAAGTATGAACTTTTCTGTTTCAAATTGACAAGTGAAAAGAGCCCTTGAGCCTACTCAAAGTAAACATTTGGTTCCATATTATTCTTTAAGTACTTCTTGGACCAAAGCTACTTAAAAAATAGTTGGAGTAGTATATTAGACCTTCCATTTTAGAGGATTTTTATATTTTTGTATGATCAAATTTTGCCTGTTTGTCTCTCTTTTTTTTGCTCATGCCTGAAATTAAGAAAAACTAAGCTAAAACCTGCAATCCATGCATTTCTGATTTATATGAGATGTTTAAAAAAATCCAATGTTTTCCAGTGTATTTGTTTCCTAATAAATCTCATTTTCTTTGAAGCAGTTGATATATAACAGATACTCCAATGAATAGCCTAATCACTACTGTGTTTATTGATTTTAGTAGAGCTAGTTTCCTAGTGAACATATGTAAAGAAACCTCTTAGATATAATTGAACCATAATCTTAATTTTAATTTGTTCTGGTGACTTAACTAGGCGGCATGGAGGTCCATGCCTCTTCTTTGTAATAACAGGAAGAAGAAAAGAACAACTTACATGCATTTCATGCCTAGGTTCTAGACCTGTGTTTTCAAGCCTGCCAAGTTAAAGATACGTGGACTTCTTAACATGGTGGCTGAGGAATCCCTGGAGTTGAAGTGAACACATCTTAAAAGTTGCCAAATTTGAAAAACACTGGTCCAGATTGTGACTCCAAACCATGAGGACATGTGCGCTCTCCAGCATCAATCCAAGTCACCTTGGATTGTACTTCTTAGTTAATTGAAATAAACAGAAAGTATAACTGAAACCTCTAAGAGATTTAATGTCATTTACAAAGTAATATCTGTCTCTGCTCTCTGCAAAAAGAGAGAAGAACAGTAAGAATAAAGAAGATCCAGGTCAGAAAGTACTTGTTTACTTAATGCCTTGCTAAGGTAATATAATTTTCAATGTATCATAGTATTAGACACAGATTTATAATTGTGTACTACTACTCTTGCTGACTATTTACTAGGTTTCTGCAAAACATTTGAAAGAAGTGTTACACAGCATATATATGAAAGAAGCACTTCTGTTAAGATTGGTAAAGCAGCTATATCTTTTCCAGGACATAGTAGCTGGTTTGAATGGCAGTCCAAGCTGTCTCCACATACTTGTGACTGTGCAATCCCTTTACTTCACTGCCACAGTGAATGTCCTGTGTATGTGTACATAAACACAGAGAACCACAAACAGTGCTATATAATAACAATTTATTAAAATTGTCATTCTTCTATGCTGAAAATCTGCCTGACTCAAACTTTGCAGGAATTTGATTTATTAACTATTTTTTTAAAAAGTTATAAGCTTTTTAAATTATAGAAATGGGAGCATAATTATCAAATCTGGAGGAGAGGGGTAAGACTTGCGTGATTAGAAGTACATCTTGTTTACAAGCAGTAAATATCCCAGTATACTTTGTGGTGGCCACACTTATTTATACTGATATGAGAATTCCAAAGAGTGCCAAACAGCAAAGTTGATATCTGTAACATAATCCCAGAGAAATAGTCCTATTTTTAATTTGTCCTGAATTTCAAATACACAACACTTAAGCCAAATCAGTTAGTCATATAGGTGGACAACAGCCAAATATGCAGCACATTTTTCCTTACACTAAATAAATCAGCAAAAAGTTTCCTTTAGTGAGAGCAATTGAATTCTGGATAGACTGATTGTTGAAGCTCTGCCTGGAAATTATTTTATCAGAATATCCTCAGGCCATGTGCTTGGGGCAGAACAGCTCTGCCCTGATGCAGTCCATCTAACATAGCCTTTCCCACAGCATTTGTATGTACTGCCAGATTTCTTGTTGGACTGCATATAGAGATTTCCACAGGATGTGGAATGCTCTGCTACCAGAGTTCTGGATTGCTGTGTGCACAGATGCATGGTATATTTTGTGTCTGATGTTCCAAGTTAGAGATGGAATGTAATGTCCTCAAGATAATGAATTAAGATTAATTAGATAAGATTTCTAAATAGGACATCTAACCAAGGGATGAAAATATATATTTGATGTTTCCAAAGGTAGTGAAAACTTGGCTGTTCTCCCAAACCTTCGGGCAGGGTAATAGGATGACCCTTTGTAAACTTTATTTTTATTGTTTTATATGATATTTCTAGTCACGTACCTTCTGCTTCTTTTTTATTGTTCTGGCTTTTTTTTTAATAGGAAGACACCTAGATTATGTTGGAGTAGGACATTCAATAAACCTGTGTAATAAATAAAATAAATACACTTAATACCAAGAATCACTTTAGATTCTCAAGTTGTTTGTAATTTAAATTTTAATGTGGGATATATCCTATGAATCATGTTATAAATCCTAGAACAAAAATAATTATCTAATCCAAGTGATAATAGATTTTGGCCAAGTTCAAATAATACACTCAACCTAAATATTGAAATGTTCTGCTTTCTGGACTTAACACAATTGTCTGACCAAATAGACATAGTTTATGCTAGGCATAGTTTTAGCAAAGCCAAAATACAATACAAAACAAAACAACATTTCCAAAATTAAAGTTGGGGGAATGCTGGTATAAAACCTTTAGTTACTTGACTGTGTGTGTTGTTCAAACCTTGTTGTTGTTGTTGTTGTTAATTGCGAAGTCGTGTCCAATCCATCGCGACCCCATGGACAACATTCCTCCAGGTCTTCCTGTCCTCTACCATCTTCTGGAGTCCATTTAAATTCACACCTACTGCTTCAGTGACTCCATCCAGCCATCTCATTCTCTGTCGTCCCCTTCTTCTATTGCCCTCAATCTTTCCCAGCATTAGGCTCTTCTCCAGTGAATAGGCTCTTCTCCAGTTCAAACCTTAGAGTACATTAAAGGCATTTTGAAACATATGCTCAGATTTCAGTATCTTCTTTCAATCTATGATCTTGCTTTAAGTTATGAGTGAAATTGGGCTGGTGCTTTTCTTCTGAACTGAAGAATTACTTTTCTGAATATGTTTCCCAAGCTATTGTTTGCAATGTTTTCTGTGTTGTAACCTTATCTAGGTCAGCCTACATTATTATTTTAATAAAATAATTGGACTCATTTTACCATTTATGTTGTGAAATTGATTTGTTAAAAGCATGAAATATCTTGACGGTAAGTACAATATAAATCATAGATATGTTTGTTGTTCACAAAGATATTGGCAGTCCTGATCGCCCACTTAAGACGACACCAAGCTGGCAGGAATAGCCAACACTCCAGAAGACAGGCTTAAGATACAGAAGGATCTGGACAGACTTGAACACTGGGCACTGACTAACAAAATGAAATTCAATGGTGAAAAAAGCAAGGTTCTACATTTAGGCAAGAAAAACCAAATGCACAAGTACAGCATAGGTGGCACCATGCTCAATAGTAATAACTATGAGAGGGACCTCGGAGTCCTAGTAGACAATCACCTAAATATGAGCCAGCAGTGTGCTGCAGCTGCCAAAAAGGCTAACACAGTGCTAGGCTGCATTAACAGAGGGATAGAATCAAGATCACGTGAAGTATTAATACTACTCTTCAATGCCTTGGTAAGGCCACACTTGGAATACTGCATCCAGTTTTGGTCACCACGATGTAAAAAAGATGTTGAGACTCTAGAAAGAGTACAGAGAAGAGCAACAAAGATGATTAGGGGACTGGAGGCTAAAACATATAAGGAACGGTTGCTAGAATTGGGTATGTCTAGTTTAACGAAGAGAAGGACAAGGGGGGACATGATAGCAGTATTCCAATATCTCAGGGGCTGCCATAAAGAAGAGGGAATTAAGCTATTTTCCAAAGCACCTGAAGGCAGGACAAGAAGCAACGGGTGGAAACTAATCAAGGAGAGAAGCAACCTAGAACTAAGGAGAAACTTCCTGACAGTGAGAACAATTAATCAGTGGAACAGCTTTCCTCCAGAAGCAGTAAATGCTCCAACACTGGAAGTTTTTAAGAAGAGACTGGACAGCCACTTGTCCGAAATGGTGTAGGGTTTCCTGTCTGAGCAGGGGGTTGGACTAGATGACCTCCAAGGTCCCTTCCAACTTTACTACTATTATTATTATTACCTAGGGGCGATCATAGAAACCAATTGCTGCAGGGTCTATCTGTCACCAGATCATCGAGACAATATCCAAACTCTGGTCAGACGGATATCCAGAGAGTGGAAAGTCACACTCGTCACACTGTGGGAAAATGGTATCCTGCATGGGGATTGTGCCATGGGCTAGGTCACACTCCAGACATCTGCAGTGGTTTCTATTCCCCTTTCAGAGACAGGGTACCAGTCCCTCTGACAGGAAGGTAACTGTTCCGGCCTCAGCCCTGTAGTCCCTTCAGTGGTGGACCTCCCCGGCAATGACCAAGGGTTCATTGTTCAAGGAACCAGATAGACTTATCCTAACGACGGATGCCAGTCTGTTCGGCTGGGGGGCCCACCTAGGGTCACAGTTAGCTCAGGGCCGATGGTCTCATGTGGACCTCAAGCACAACATAATCTGGCTAGAGCTCAGAGCCATACACCTAGCACTATGCAATTTTGGCAACAGGGTGAGGGGACAACATGTCCTGATACTCACAGACAATGTAGCAGCAAAGGCCCATGTGAATCGACAGGGAGGCACTCGGTCCAGAGTCCTCATGTCTGAGGCCCAACTACTGAATTCCTGGGCAGAATCCAACCTCTCCTCCATCAAAGCAGAACACATTTCGGGGGAGGCGAATCATCAGGCGGATTCCCTGAGCAGAACAATAGTGGACCACTCAGAGTGGCGCCTGCATCCTGACCTGTTCAGGGAGATTTCAGAGAAGTTCAGTCCCCCAGTGTTGGACCTGTTCACCTCCCCTTCGAATGCACAACTGCCAAAGTTCTTCTCCAGGTTCCCTTCTCCAGGGGCAGAACAAGCAAATGCTCTACGCAGCCCATGGCCCGAGGGCCTACTGTATGCCTTCCCTCCTCTCCCTCTGCTCCCGGCGATCATCCGGAAAATAATACAGGAACGGGCTGAGGTGATATTAATTGCTCCACACTGGCCAAGACGTCAGTGGTTTGCCGACTTCGTGAGCCTTTCAGTCTCTCCACAATGGAGGATCCCCTCAGATCACGTGCCACTCAGCTGGGGGTCCTCCAGCATCTGGACCCTCAATGGCTCCAGTTAACCGCCTGGCACTTGAATGGCGTCTCCTGACACGAGAATCCTATCCGGCGGGCGTTATCTCCATGATCCAAGCCGCTAGGCGCCCCTCAACCAACAGAATCTACGACTCCTCCTGGAAGAACTGCAACTGGTGCACAAGGAACCACCTCGAGCTTTGACCATCACCATACCCGGAACCCTTCGTATTTTCTGGAGGGACTAAAGGGCTTGACTCCCAACACCATCCGAAGGCAGGTGGCAGCTCTCTCCACGGTACTCACATGTGACAATTTGACACCATTGGCTCAGTACCCTATGGGGCAATCCTTCATCAAGGGCATAAACAACACCAGGCCATCTGTGGTTCATCGGTATGCCTCGTGGGAGCTCTCACGGGTCCTGCAAGCTGTAACCTCACCACCGTTCGAGCCCATTAAGTCATGTTCAATTCAGTTCTTAATAATGAAAGTAGCCTTCCTCATAGCCATCACGTTGGCCAGATGCATCTCAGAGCTGGCCTCTCTCTCTGCCAGAGAAGACCTATGTGTTTTTCACAGCGATAGGGTAGTCCTTTGACTGGACCCCTCCTTCGTACCGAAGGTAAATTCATTGTTCCACAGATCACAGGAGGTGATTCTTCCAAACTTTTGTCCTCATCCAGCCCACGGGCTAGAACGCCAATGGCACACCTTGGATGTTTGAAGAGCATTGCGGCAATAGCTCAAACGGACTTCAGCCTACCGTAAGTCAGAGGCACTATTTATCTCCTTTCAGCCTTCTTCCATAGGAGAGAAGGTCTCATCTTCAACGATTGGCAGGTGGATCAGGGCCTGCATTGCAAGAGCATACCAGGCACACTCCCTGCCAGGACCAGATCATATCACCTCTCACTCCACCCTTAATGTGGCAACATCAGCAGCATGGCATCACAGGCATCCATTGGGGATATTTGTAGAGTGGCAACCTGGTCCTCGCCTTCCCCATTCGTGAGACATTACAAACTGGACAAATTTGCCTCCACGGAGGCATCATTTGGCTGGAGGGTACTCCAGCAAGTGGTGCCATCAAGTGGGACACAGGCCCAGACTGACTCTCCCCCATAGGGACAGGGTAGCTTTGGTATGTCCCATTTGTGGAGTCTCCATCCTCATACTGGAGAAGGGGCATTGTCTTTCCTGAATGCCTTTTCTCAGCATGATGATGAAGACTCCACTCCCACCCTCTTTTAGGTCTGTCAGGGCCAGTGCTAGGGGTAGGGAAACCAATACATCAGACTATTGTCATAGCTTCACCTTCATCGTGTCTGGGAAATGGAGGGCACAACAGGAGGTGTGGCTACTTTGTCAGACTTAGTCTAATTGGGCAGGAAGACAGTCAAAACCCATTCGTGGAGTCTTCATCATTATGCTGAGAAAAGATGTTCAGGTAAGACAACGCCCCTTTCAGGAATTTAGTCACATGTTGAAGTAATCTTTAGCACTGAGCTAGGACTGGCTCTACCTCAAGATTTTATTTCATTTCATTGGCAAAATATTATGCTTTTATTTAAAAATTGTTTTTGTCCAAGTTTAACTTAATGTGAGATAAAAGTACATTTTTCAGTTTCTTACTTCTAAGGAAATGTGTGTCCTGCTTTGCATTTAAATATAAAAACTGGACATATTCTTGAGTTTTCAAAGACATTTGAAATAACATACAACTGTGTCTACATGAATAAACTATTTTTGTTTTCTTTGAGGAGTTAGACTTGCCACAAAAGTTACTAAATATGTATAGAGACATATATACTATTTCATTTTTGATTTTTCATTTATCTGATTAAATCAGTATTAGAAGAAAAAATATTTGCTTTCAGTAAATTTTGATAAATTACTAGCTGCTACTACACTTTCCTCCTCACTCTGTCCAAAGATTGTTGACCTATTCATGTATAGGCAGGTCATCCTATTTTTAGAAATGATATTCCTGATTATCTTTATGGCTCTCCACTTCCCTAGTGTGAATCTGATTTGGAGGTCCTTTTGGGCAGCATTGTTTGCCATGCCATCTCATCCCTGATCTGGCTTGTTTTATGCTGGAGTTAAGTCTGCCATTATTATAACACTGTAAATTTTGAAGGAGAAAGTTAAATATTTTAATCACAAGAATGCATTGCAGAAGAAACATGCCTAATTTTACTTTTCTGTTTGTTGGAATCATTCAACTTCCTGGGAGTAAGCACTATTGACCTTAATGGGATTTGTTTTGTACAGTGTTTATGACAGCTCTGTACTAATCCAGAAAATCAAGCAAAATAACTTGCTTCTTGCTTCTTTTAAAGTTAAAATTGTATTTATTTACTTATCAAGTTTATAACACACCCATCTCACAAACAAGTGACTTAAAAATCATTTACATTCTACCAAACCAAACTGTGTCTTTTCTCATTTGATGATAAATTAATAATAGTAATTTATAATAGTAACTTCCCTATTATTTATTTGTGAAGCCCAATTTCTTGCTGTTTTATTCAGAT